ACTCATTCATCAGTACAACTTTAAGGATTTGATTTTGGTGTGCACAAAATGTCAATTGTTTTACAATTGGATTGTTGGGCCTTGGTTCACACAATGAAGTGCATGTGAATCACAAAGGAACTGCAACACATTCCTGTGCAATTCACATGTGGTTCAGTGTAATGCAATTTGAGCCCATTCATTTTGAATGAGCTCAAATCACACCACATCGCACCAAAGACATGCATGCACCAATTTTTGAACCACAGTGCAACCAGATTGCATGTTTTGTTTTGTACCATGCAATCTGGTGCCGGCAAATGCACTGTGTTTGCAACACTGACATCCACTGCAGACTGCAAGGGTAGTGCGATTTGAATGTGGTGCGCGAAAATGCACACAGATTGCGGGGTTTCTGCAACACATTCTAGTGTAAGCCTAAACTGATTAATTCATTTTTATGAAAGCTAGTATAAAAAAAACAAAGCTAAAAACTAATACAGAAAATCAATTTGGATCAACTTGATTTTTAACTGCTTTTTAACTTTAAAAAACTTGCTCATAATTGTAGCAATTAAGTACACGTGACTTGAAGGTTTCTTATAAAAACTGGAAAAACTATTTGAATTAACTTAATATGTTTAAGTACTCAACTTAAAAACATGTGTTTATAATGCCAGTGATTAAGTTGGCGGTAAATAAAAATGCATTCATTTCTATCAGAAAAGCTAATTACCTCAATGCAATGTAGTTTGTTGCTTCAACTTAATTTCACCAGACATTGTCATAACTTAAAAAGCTTGATGCAAACTGTTGCGTTAATTGTTTTTTGTTGAGCCAAAACATTATTTTTTAGAGTCTTGGAAATGTTCTTGTCCTAAGCAGAGTGATACCAAATGCACTTCACCTGGGACAGGAGCCGGAGCTATAAAGGAAGCATCAGCTAAAATGGCTCCTGCTCTCTCTGCAGCCACTTGGTTCCTCCCGCATCAGCTCCATCCACATTTATGTTCTGAGATGGTGGGTCAGCAACCCACGATCTGGGCTTGCCAACCTGCCATGCCAGAGCAGGAGGTCTCGGGCCACATTAGAGGCCACTGGTTGAGCACCCTTGTCCTATTACGTACCTGTAAGGAAGGAGTTTGTGAGAGAAAAAACTGAGCGCCTGGAGGAAACACACACTCTAGAGCAGGGTTTCTCAACCAGGGTTCCATGGAACCCTAGGGTTCCTCCAGAGGTTGCTATGGGTTCCTTGAGCAATGGGAAATGTCTGCCTCTCAGATAGGTTCCCACTGACACCACTGATCTTTTTAGCTATCAGTAAGGGGGTAATTCTTTCTAAGGACCACAAATGTAAGGAGCATTCTTCCCACTGATCATCATACTAATATACTGTACTGTATCATGAGTTGTAGATAGAGTAATTTTTAGCAGGGGTTCCCCAAGACCGGAAAGGTATTTCAAGGGTTCCTCTTTGTTGAAAAAGTTGAGAAAGGATGCTCTAGAAGATGATACTTCATGAAAAAAGTGTAATTAAGGGAAACAACCAGGACAACAATCCTATAAATCCACAGTACTACACCCTGGCCTTTATTGTACAGTTCAATCACAAAATCCAAAATAGGCTCAGGTTTGGATCTGATACATAACAGACTTGGTCAGTCATGTTGCTGGCTGTTCCAAAATTCTGAATTCATTCAAAATTTGCAGATTGTGCAAGGGTAAAGATCACATACATGCACCCATGCAATCAACCTCAAAAGACAATGGTGAAGCATATAAAACCGACATAATGACTTGATAGGTCCAAACTGGCCAAACCTACTTTACAATCAAAACATGTATGAGCATGTTTAGGAAAATGACACTTGCAAATTACGTTTTTAGGTTACCTTTTCTACATGGCATGAACTTGACCATTCTATGATGTCATATATATATATATCAGTCAGTTTACCAATCAATCATTCTCCACGTAGGCACTTTGCTGCTTTTAGAAAATAGAACACAGATTTATGATATGAAAATACTATCAGGTTGTGAACATTTCCTTCTACTGCAGATCAAACTGTCGTTGTTATTACCGGGGCAGAATTTATCATCCTGGGGAAGTGATTTTAAGACAGTCTGGATCTTGGTAAGATGGAAGTTATTTCATTGTCTTCAGAATGATTTAAACGGGAATGGGCCATGCCAATAAATGTATAGTTTACAGTGAAAAGAGCCTCGTTTTGTTCCTTACTCGGTAGGTCAAAGTGCAGTAACCCAATTGAAATCAATCTTTTAGCAAAGTAAAATCTGGTAGCTAATGGACATTGCACATTATCATTACTATTTGCCCTGAATTACTTTGTATTCCTGCTTCTCCACTTCACTAATTACAGAAATAAGGTTCTTTATCTTTTTCTGCTAGCCAGTGTTTGAATGGAACAATGAGGTGTACTGAAACCGCTACAACTATGACAGGTATGTTAAAATTGTTGAAACACTAGGCACATATTTACAATTTGCACATTTGAGAACATAATTTTAATATATAGCTGTTACATATGTGCATTTCCCATCTTTAAATAATTTTAAACATGATTTATGTCATCTAAGCACTAGACATGTGCAGAATTAAAATATTTGTTTGGTTTCGTATCGATTTGTTAAGTTACTAATGTTGTTTCATTGCATTCATAACAAAATTTGTTTAATGTTGTTTATTTGTTTTTTGTTTTTGACCATATTCAAATTCCAATGGATTTTAAGTATTCAAATCAAATTCAAATTGAAAATATTGAATCGATCCGAATTCCTTGTGAATAATAGCTGGTTCCATTTTATTAAAAATACAAATTTATGAAGATGACTATATCTATTCTATTCTGTTTTATTCTAGTCTATTCTTTTTTAAATTAAAATTTTAGAAGGCAGCTATATTCCATATTATTTTATTCTATTCAAAATTTTAATTTCAGAAGACAGCTATAGTCTTTCTATTCTTTTCTATTTTTATTTAATTCTTTTATTTTCTATTCTGTTCTGTTTTATTTATTCTATTTTATCCCATTCTCTTTGAAATTTGAATTTTAGAAGACAGCTATATTCTTTCTATTTTATTCCATTCTATTCAAAATTTGAATTTCCAAATTGAAAATTTGAACATCAAAAGACGGCTATATTCTTTCTATTCGAAATTTGAATCTTTCTATTCAATTTTTTCCTATTCTATTTTATTATTTTCCGTTCTATTCTGTTCTTTTATTTTCTGTTCTATTCTACTTTTTTATTTTCTATTTCAGGTACTTACATAGCGCTGTCAATTTACACAGCAATTTACATATATATTGTGCATTCCCATCAGTCCCTAACTTTCAAGGGGCGTACAATCTAAGGTCCCTAACTCATATTCATACATACACCTAATAGGGCCAATTTAGACATGAGCCAATTAACCTCCCAGCATGTATTTGGAGTGTTGGAGGAAACCTGAGTACCCAGAGGAAACCCATGCAGGCACAGGGAGAACATGGAAACTTCAGGCAGGTGGTGCTGTGGCTGGGATTTGAACCAATGACCCTAATACTGCCAGGCGGAAGTGCTAACCACTTAGCTTCTGTGCTGCCCGTATTCTGTTCTTTTTGGTTCTATTTTTTTTAAATTCTATTCTTATAGAAATTCGAATTTTGGAAGATGGCTGTACTTTAATACACCCAGCCTTTGAAGGAAATTGGCAGTAGTCAGCAAAATATTTACATTTTGAATTTGTTTGCAAATTTGACTTCAAATTAATTTTGAATTTGATTCGAATAATTTGTAATTTTGGACGAAATTTGGTTTCGTTATTTTGGATTCATTTAAATTCATTACTATTGTAATTCGGAAATTCAGATACATCCGAATCTCTGAATAAGGAAACTTTTGTCCAAATTTCAATTTGGAATTAAATAAACTGCTGATGTCTACTAAGCACCCCTTTTAGTAAACTGGATTTGCTTTTCTTTTTCTTTCCATCTTCTGTAGTTTTTTTCCATTGTTGTTGACTGAACATGTCTGAGCTACTTACCACTTCCTTTACTGCCCTGAGTAACTACTACTATTAGTGCATGGTATAAGAAATGAAGAGGTGCTGTAAGACAAGCCACCCCAGTAGAGTTACATAGAAAAGTTACAGGGCTAGCAATGATTCCCTATGTGGGAATAAACCCTAAGGGGTTTATTTACTGAAGCTGGAGAGTACCAAATCAGGCTCACTTCTGCATAGAAACCAATCCGCTTCTAACCTCAGCTTGTTCAATTAAGCTTTTGAAATAAAACCTGGAAGCTGATTTTTTTCTATGCAGAAGTGAGCCTGATTTTGAACACTCCAGGTTTAGTAAATAAACCTTTTCAAGTGTGGAGGATGCATGAAGAACAATCTCTATACTTTGAGCTTCCCTGTAGCAGCTTCCTACACTGCCTTGCAATGATGGAGGATTGTATTACTTCACCTCCGTTTACTACATTAGCAATATTTTTAATATTGTTGTGGGATAACAATGACTGGTCGGTGTTCTGAGTCAGGAATCCAACAGGTTGCTTAAACTCCTGCACTTGTGCACCCCATATGGACCAGCTTCTGCAGTGGGGCAGCACAGTGGCTAAATGGTTAGCACTTCCACCTGGCAGTACTAAGGTCGTTGGTTTGAATCCCAACCACAGCACCACCTGCCTGGAGTTTGCAAGTTCTTCCTGTGCCTGCATGGGTTTCCTCCAGGCACTCCAGTTTCCTCCCACACTCTAAAGACATGCTGGTAGGTTAATTGGATCCTGTCTAAATTGGCTCTAGTATGTGTATGTATGAATGTAAATTGGGGACCTTAGATTGTACACCCCTTGAGGGTTAGGGACTGATGTGACTCTACAGTATATATGTAGAGTGCTGTGTAAATTGATGGCACTATATAAGTACCTGAAATAAATAAAATGAGCAAAGCACAGGTTCACTTTAAATATGAACAATTGTTTTCTCAAGACTGCGTAGGATTTTTTTTTTAACCTCCCTGGCGGTATTCCCGAGTGTAGCTCGGGGTAAAGTTTCAGCACCACAAGCGGTAACCCCGAGCTACACTCGGGAATACCATGCAGCGCTGCTCCGGGATCCCTCGATCACTTACCTTGTCCTGCGCTCCCGCGATGTCCGTCCTGCAGTGTCCCCGGTATTGTAATCCAGCGGATGCCGGCATCTGTCATCTGGGTTCCGTCCCCTGCGAGCGTCGGGACGTACGGGGGACGGAACAGCGGGAAATTTGAAAATGACAAAAAGTGACATTCACTAAAATCACATAGTAAAACATTACTGTATCAAACCATTTCACATACATTTTGTCCCTAGCGCTTTGTCCTGTGCCCTGCCTGCATTTTTACTGTTCTTATTGCCTGGAAACTGAGAAATGTCCATGGCATCGAAAAAGCGTCGCTTTAGGTCAAAAGCAGTTTTAGACCAGCTAGAGAACAGCGATAGTAAATCAGAACCACTTGCAGAATTGAGTGATAATGATTCGTGGGGAAATTCATCATCAGACACTGAAAACGATTTTGCGAATTTGCTCAGTGATGTGCGAACTTGGCACTATTTTTTAAATTTCAGTGTTTTTGGTTTGATTATATTATTGAATTAAATTTATTATTATATTAATATTTGTTATGATTATTTATTAAATTATAATTTATGATTTCGTGTTTCAAGTTTTATCCTACTCGGCATGTTTACTAGACTCTTATTCGGACAGATTTCAGCGAGTGATTCCTAAGAATTACAGGCCTACAATATAAAATGCCAAATTTCCATGCAAAATAACGGTACCACTTTCAGCACCAAAAATCTGAAATAATCATACCACCAGGGAGGTTAAAGGAGGTCAGGCCTTTGTACCAATATAGCCTCATTGTGCTTGAGAATTCAGATAAGTGTTCCTGTCTGCCATCATCTGTGCGTATAAATCACAGTCTGATGAGCGTTTGTCAATCACAGGGCTACAGCATAGGGCACAATATCCTATATATCATCATGCCTAAAATAACAGCAGTAGTTTATGTGCGCTTTTCTACTTCATATATAATCATTTCATGTTTAAGGTCAAACATGCCCAGAAGGAAAAATATACTTTGACTGCAGGAATCCTGTTCTCGGCGTACCATCTGCTGGGGTGAATTGTGAAGTCACCTGTGCCAACCTGGCAATGAATTTCTCATGTGTCCCATCCCCGCTTTGTGCCAGTGGGTGTATTTGTCCACCAGGGTAAGTAAGTATGATATATTGCACTGATGGCTGTTTATTCGTATATTCATGTGTATGTGTATATTGTTTTGATATTATGATGTTTTGCAGCATGGCTGAGCATAAAGGGAAATGTTATGTTCCTGATAGCTGCCCATGTTCGTGGAAAGACTGGGAATATTTATCTGGAGAAGTCATAACTACGCCGTGTTACACATGGTAGGTTATTTAAATCATCTACAGATAAACTATGGAAGAATGTAAGCACATTCTAAGTTTATTTTTGGTCTGCCAGAAATGCAAATTTAATTTTCTGTTGTGGGCTGACAACACAGAGCACCATTGTTTTGTTAAATGCTCAGCCACTCCCATTGTATCCTTATCCAACTCATAGGGAGTAATTGGTTGTAGTCCAGGTTACTTTCACACTGATCTGCCGCAAAAACTATGCTTTTGCCATACTTTCTGAGCGTTTTTGAAGGACTTAAAAACTGCACCAAAAAAGCTTCTCAAAGGCGTTTTTGAGGTGCTTTTCAGGCATTTTTAGGGTGTTGTCCATTGATTTCAATAGAAGGAGGTGTTTTTTTTAACTCCCCAAACATGCCCCAAAGATGCTGCAAGCAGGATTTTTTACACCGCACCGCAAGTGCAACGTACATAGATATACATTCACATACATAGAGAAGCGTTTTTTTTGAGTTTTTCAAGCACTTTTTTTTACTGCAAAAATGCTTCAAAAACTCCTCAGTGTGAAAGTAGCCTAAGGGAGGGCTAAATAGTTTCTTTGAGATAGAACTGGCAGAGAGCTCAGGACACAGGACACTTTTTCTGACAAGATCAGCATAAAGTAGATATAATAAAAAAGCTTTCAATGGCATTTTTAAGAGACCAAAAGAAAGAAAAAAAGTTTATTGTTAGGATTTACCTACATTTTAACGCACCTTGATCAGAATGTTTGCATTAAAATGTATCCAAGCAGATTGATCCATTGTTATTACAGTAGTATCATAGGATTGACAGTCAACCCCCCAAAACCTGCCCAGCTTTCTGGTTGCTGTTCAGGCCCTTGCCTGCCACCCCATACAGGTACTTAATTGTTTTTGGGGATGCAGTCCTTTTGGGGATGCAGGTGTGCTATAGGGATCGGTTGTAGCAGGCAGGCATCTGGAGTAGCCTTCTTTTCATAGTAAGTAAAAATTTGAAATATTGTCACAGAAATGTTATAAAGGGAAACTATAAAGACCCATTTACATATGCTGTATATGTTAAGGTATTGCATGGTAATATGTATGCAACACACGTCAACTAATCCGTTAAACTGCAGTGTTGTTCATTTTGAAAGGCACCCCAGCATTCTGTAACAGTAGCAGGCATCATACCTGCACTGCAGGACACTACAATACACATGCTGTGTTTTCCGGTGCTCTGTGTTAGAAAAAAAGTCATATATGATTTTTTTTAGTACATTAGAGTGCTCTGCCACTCCTTCAAAATGAGGGAGATTTACTAAACCGGAAGAACTCAGAATCTATTGCAACTGTGCATAGTAACCAATCAGTTTCTAACTTCAGCTTGTTCTGAAACCTAGAAGCTGATTGGTCACTATGCACAGCTGCACCAGTTTCTGTCTGCTCCAGTTTTATTAAATCTCCCCCACTGAGATGCAATCTGAGAACCTTTCCATTCTGAAATGGAGTCAAAGGCTTCAAAACAAAATGTTAATATGATATTTTTCATGTTACCTGTTTAAAAAAAATATACATTTTAACAGTTTATTTTGTTTAGTCCTGACAATGATGAACACATTAATTATGAAAATACATTTATTTTAATGTACAGAATCAAAAACAAAGGAGGAGAATATTTACACAGGAAAGATACAATTATGTGATACTACAAATCTCAGTATGCAAACTATCAAAGCCATGCAGGTGTTTTTGGTCATTCTACTAGGTAATTTTCAGTCATGATGGTTTCAAGGCGAAACTTGTTAATATACAGTAGGTGCCATCATTTTGCTTTCAGTACTAAAAAATTTAGATCTGGTTGAAATTGTATGGTAGAACTAAGAAATCAAAAGATTTTAACTGTGACCCCTCTCAAAGTCATCATTGATGAATAAAGGGGGGAATGCTGTGAATATCACAGTATGAAAGTTCCTTAGGAATAACACTGGTCAGCTACAATCCCCATATGAGCTTAGTGTCTATGGGATGTTTAAATGTGTTTGGGCAATGATTGCATTTGCTACTTTAATGAAAATGTACTAACCTGAATTTATTTTCTTATAGCGTTTGCAAAAGAGGAGTATTTAACTGCACCAGTTACCCATGTCCTTCTGTCTGCACTGTGTATGGTGATCGGCACTATTACACTTTTGATGGTTTGGAATATGACTATGTCAGTGACTGTCAGGCTTATTTAGTAAAGGTAAGATTAAAATTTCAGATAAATATTTGCTTGGAAATAAATATAAAACTCTCTTTCTCTAAAATGTAGATAATTTATTTTAAATTACTTCAACTGGTTAAAACAGAACTGTGGACGGTGCACCTTTACTTACTAATATATTCCTTCAAAGGCCATTAAATAATTGTTCTTTAATTCTTTAAATTGTTTGTTGGATTGGGTGGTATTTAGCTGTAGTAGAGGAGGATGAGCACAAAAATGTGCATCAGTGATATCGTTTCTGCAGAACTACAGATCTGAGTGTGTTGTAGCCCTTGTAATATGTAGACACCCTTTAAGCTGGAAAGGGTAAATGGACAAAAAGGGTAGGAATTATTCTCAAATAATTTTTGTCAAAACAAATCCTATATATTTGTTTGAACTGTGTTTTTTTTGCATTGGAATTTTTAATTGGGGATGGATTTTGTGGCCATTACTTAACTGAGGACATGTCTCTTCTTTGCCTTAGTTGTAACTCTGTTCTAACTATGATGTCTCCTGCTTTGGAGGAGATGGAGGTGACCATCTCAACAATCAGACACTGCATTTGACTTTTCATTCTAGTTCAAGGAAAATTAAGCAAGTGAGATCATTAGTCTCTCCATTAATTCAAATGTGCTATTTTTTAAATCTTCAGTAGTTACTTCTCGAAAACAAGCATAGCTATTGGCTTTTGATGCCCTATGAATAGCTTATACAAAACTGACAGAACTACCCAGGTTCATCAGATTTTGCTAAAAACTTATCAGATAAAAAGGTTAGAGAGAGCGCATATTCCTGTATAGTTATTACAAAGGATGAGTAAATCTGCCTGGGTTCAGTGTTCAAACCCATTAACTGTACGTTGAACCCCATTGATATGTAAGGGGCCAGATCTTTTTTATGCAGTTCTAGACATTTGAAGGACTAATAAGCTATAGTCAAAATAGTCATAGAAAAACTGGACAGTGCCATGGGGGACATGTACCAGTGGCAAAAAATAGTAAATAAATAAAACAGTATATGTCCCTAACATTTCTAATAGAGATGAGCGAATCGAACTTGGCGAAGTGGAATTCGTTTCGAATATTAGGAAAATTTCGATTTGCGACGAATCCGAAGATTAGCAGACTTCGGATGCGCGAATCGAAATTTTTCCAAAAATGGCGGCGACATGTGCGGCGACGGAGCGGGGATCTCTGGGAAGGCGCGCAGACAAGGCGCGCTGACCCATAATGCATTCATTCATGACATGTGATCGCATTAGCCAATCAGCAGCCAGCACTGTGTTAATGGTCGAGCTATAAATTGCGGCCATTTTAGAATTCTCCATTTGCCTCCAGTCATTCAAGAGAGGCAGACCTGGCTGTATTGAGGGAGAGAGTTAGGGACACAGAAACATTACTTAGGGCCAGAGAAACGTTACTTAGGGACACAGAATCGTTACTTAGGGACACAGAAACGTTACTTAGGGACACAGAAACGTTACTTAGGGCCACAGAATCGTTACTTAGGGACACAGAAACGTTACTTAGGGACACAGAAACGTTACTTAGGGCCACAGAAACGTTACTTAGGGCCACAGAAACGTTACTTAGGGCCACAGAATCGTTACTTAGGGCCACAGAAACGTTACTTAGGGCCACAGAAACGTTACTTAGGGCCACAGAATCGTTA